TAACGTATATTGTAAATAAGACCACCTGTAAATAAGGTGGTCTGTAAATAAGGTTTAGTCTCTGTTATCATACCAAAATAAAAGGAAAAATATGTACAGAACAAACACAGCCAAACAAAGGTTGACTGATTTGAATAACATGTTTATAAAGTTGAAATTGGCCCCAAAGCTTCAAAATAACAAACTACAGAGTTATTATATATCTTATATATTCATAAAGGAGGGATATGCTAAATTACAATTTGTTCCTAATGATCTAGAAACATGTGAAAATATCTGTGGTTTCAATAATCATACTAAGGAAGAAAATGGTCACAAAGATTTCCAGCAGTGATCGTGTGCAGAGAGTACTAGGTCTTGTTTGTGAAGTTGTTTCATATGCCTATTGGCTTACTATTGGCTATTTATCCCTGCACCCCACAGAGATGGCTGAAGACTAAATGCTATCTTGACTTCTCAGAAGTATGTAGGTATGAACCAAGCTAACCTTGACTTCTGCAAACACTGGTTTGTCTAATTCCTAGTTCAAACAGTTTCTGCCTTTCGGCCAAAAAGACGCAGTAACATCAAAGCATATCCAGAAAATACTGTCTATCTTTTTTTTTTTTYCMWTWWTTTTTTCCATTATAAGAGAATATTCTTGGTTTTTTTTTTTATAGTCCTTTTTCTTAGACTTTTCTTTCAAGTCTTTGAACCTGTGTCTCTGCTTTATCCTCTTGATTTTTCCTTCTGAAACACTTCCTAACACTTTAGTTTTTCTCCACTATGATCCCTAGAGATCAACCTGCCTCATATGTAAATGAGAGCATAGATATAATGTATTGAGGAATCTTTTGACATTAACCTAGAGTATGTTTCTCCAGAAATACAGAAATAGAATTAAAGTCTTGGGTGCTAGAAATAACAGAGATGTTATTTTTAAAATAAATTCCAAATGAAAGTGAAAAGTGCATAGAATAACCAGGAAGGTGAAAAAAGAGAGAGATCTCATGCTCTGCTGCCCTTCTCAATTATGAAGCATATTTTTACTGACATTATTAAGGTCAGAAAGGGGAAGAGGATTTGTTAAGGTGAGCATTTTTGGCGCTTGTTGATAATAAAAGTTAATAGAATTATGAAAAAAAATCTTTTTGCCAAATGTGTTAGTCTAATTTCTATATAATATGCATTTTTGATTGTGTCACAAGTGAAAATGGAATAGAATTAAAAAGAYTGTGGAGAGACAATAACTCTAAAACAATTACTTGGATTTCAGAAGAGTAGAAATATATAAAACTAGGTTCTTTAAATAAGGAGAAATGGCACAGAAACACCAGAAGATGGAACAAGTGCAAGAAGATCAACACCATTATTTTTCCTTCTTCAGCATGACCTATAAGCAAAATTGTTTTATAAACTTGAGTGATGTCTGCCTTTTTGAGATTGTTCCAAATTTTCCAATAACGGAAAACAGACTTTTATAGAAAAGGCTAACCCTTTATAGTAAGTTGTTGGAAGAGATAATTTTCAAGAGTGTTCACTCCTCCTTTGCTTCTCATTTCCACAGGTCTTGAATTCCTGGCCCAAGCCCACATGAACCAGAGCTATGAAATTATGTTTAGTTTTTTTTTACTACGTTTATTCATTTTCTATTGATATTGAGATGCTCCAGTGTCTCTTCTTTTCTTTATACTTTTCACTCTCCCCAAGCAAAATCATTTTCATCTCTCCAAAAGCTGTATGGAAATAGAGGATAACATCTGCCCATTTCCTCTCTCTCTGCTCTCTCTCTTTTTTTTCTCTCTCTCTCTTTTTTTTTTTTTTTCTGATGCTATCTGATAATCAGAGGCAAAACTTTACAGTATATGTTGTACAAAAGATGTCACTTGGATACAATCCGTTTTGTGCATTATAACCCCATATAACCTCATATCTGTTGTAAAAAAAAAACAAAGAAGGAAATTAAAAAAAAAAAGAAAAAAAGAAAGAAAGAAATGTGGATAATGGTTCCAGTTAGATATTAAAAAAAAGGGGGTACTTCGTAACACAGATTCCTCCACCTCATCTACTTTCTCCACTGTTTTGAAAAGATTTAGGTTGTTCTAAGAAAAAAACATGGCTTTTCAGAGTTGCTTATGTTTATATTCTTTCCAGAAAGAGGACTCTGYTGAGAAAGGGATATTTGTATCTCTTTACTGAGAATGCCAAGAATGCAGCAATAATTGCCATTTTTTACTTCACTGTTCCCTCTAGACAGACAACTGCTCATCACATAACAAATGCATGCAATGCATTAATTTCACATTGAGCTCTCTCTGGGCCTTCCACCTAAATTTATAGTGTTTACAGCAAATGACTCATTATAAGAAAAGAAAGGTGAAAATGATAGTGGTCTGTATTGTATTTTCTTAAAGATCTACACAAAAGAGCTACAAACAGACTGTATCTCAGGTGACAACCAGATGTGTAAAACATATCCATTTTAAAAGGTAGGCTCACTGAGGAGCCTGCTTATCCAGAAGTAATTCCATTCTCTGCAGCTGCCAGTAGATAAATATAAATTCTTATTGGAAGGGAAAAAAAAAAAGGAAAAAAAAAAGAAAACAAAGGAATACAGAACAATGCAAAAGAAAACAATAAAACAAGACAACACAACTCTTTCTTATTGCATCTTATGAACACAGCAATATAAGGCATCTTTTAAATAACACCTACCAAATTACACATGCATTTTTTTAATGTCTGAAAATCGGTGATTAGGATGGATTTCCTACCACTAGTAGTTTTAGAACAAAGACTGGATGATATTCTAAAAGATGTAGTTAAATACATTCAAAAAATAAGTCCCACTGCATGAAAAGGCTACAAAATGAGTATGGTCCTTCCCCTCCTGACCATGTAACACCATGACAAGTCTTATATTGAAATAGCTAGGTCTTATGAAATGAGTTTTGAATATTATATTTCAGGCTCAWGATCCATCTCCAGTTTACATATAACATTATCTGGAATTTACTAAGTGATGAGCTTATATACAAAAATAGTTACCGCAAATCAGCTGTAATGAAACAGCTTGGTCAATGGTTAGTAACAGCATTAGCAGTCTAATCTCTTAGAGAGACTGGCAGCAGCCTATGCCAGCACAAGCAGGGATAGCAGAAGCACAGTGCTGTAATTTTGAGCTTTTTGGATGCAGTGCTTCACATTCTGAAGCTTCTACCTTACTGAAAGAATTAAGGATGGAAAAGTGCCAAGCAGCTGTTCACTTCAGCACAGCAAAACAAAGACGTGTAATTAGGCTCCTGATGGCAGTAAAATGAAAACGTGGAAACAAATCTCTCTTGCAGAAAGGAGATAAATGCAAGGCTGGCTTGCAGAACCGTCATCTGTAGTCAACCAAAAGTGATTTAGATCAGTGTTTTGACCACTTCTGAATGCAAGGGGCATTAGGGGCACCCATGTGTTATTCTAATTGAGGTGGAGTCAGTATTGCTCCTCCAGTAATAAAGCTACTTGCTGTATTTTAAAGAGGTTATGATTGCAGCTGTCAGTCTCGCTAAAACTTTAGATGTGRGTGTCAGAGAGTTCATCCACTGAACAAGTGAACCTCAAATTAACACAGGACTAGGAGGATCTGCCTCAGCACCAAGAGGTAGTCATTTGCTTTGGCCACTCCTTGCAATATACGATTTGCTGTACATCATTCAGGCTTCTGTCAGAGGTCATCTCCTTTTGGGTGAAGAAAGTGGAGCAGTAAAAAGCAAAAGTTGCACAGAGGTGAGGGATGACATACATTTTCAAGCATGATCTATATGTGTGTGCAAAAAATGCTTTGAGTACATTCAAGATAAACTTCTGTGAAGCTTTGCAGAGAGGTTGAGTCTCTTCACTCATATTAGACTTTTGGAAAGAAATGAAGTTTAGCAAAAAGTTACACACAATTACTATGTGGTGATAATGTGAATTTACTCAATGACTCACCACTCAGCTCGTGGAGGAAAAAGAAAACAAATAAATCCAAAATGAAACAATTCCTTCAAAGTATTCAAAATTACCTTGTTGTCTATTTTTAATATTCCCTTCAGGACCTGAACAAGTTTTTTGACCAAGTGTTAGTTTTGCATCTTGGAAGCTACCAATTATTACATGGTAGAATTAGCCCTTCATTGATCATTTTGCATTGGGAACTTTTGCCTGCCATTTATGTTCCTAGGTGCACAAAGCATATGGTGCTCTGAATGAGAATGAAGAGARATAAAGAGTATATATTTATGAAGAAAAATGAGGTTAAAATGAAGAAAAAAAATGACACATTGAGTTAGGAAATTTTCAAAGGAAGAAGCTAAAGGCCAAGTACTGTATGAAAAGTGAACTTCAGACTCAGAAGTAAAATAAAGATTAATACGTAGAATGCACTACCATTTACCAAGAAATGATATATTTCCAGACCACATCACATTTAAAGAAACATTTCAGGAAAGATCAATTAATCATTTTCCTGTATAGAATATAACTAGTGTCTATGAGACTATGAAATCAGGATTTGTATATAATACATAAATTAGTATAAATGTCATCTAATAAAGGTAATGAATATTTAATTTTTATAAATACAATGAAATATAGCTGCAAATTTTATTTTAAAAAGTATTGCTCAATGACATGGGCAACTGGCATAGACAATATTTGGAATGTTTTCTGATTGAAAGAATAGTGAAAAAAAATAAAACAATCATCTATCGATGCAACGATTAACTAGTTCTTTTCTTTCAGTACAAATTTTAATTAGCTGACAGAGGCAAAAAGTACTTTTTGGTATTTTTGCAGATGAGATATCCACAATTGCTGACTTTATCAATCGATATGTAATTTTTATAAGCTTAGGTACAGTAAGTCACCAAAATATTAAAAGAGGATATAGGTATTGTAAATAACCATAGCACTGAAACAGGATATTTATGTAAACATAATCTCACAATTGTATAGTATGATTTTTGAAAAATATAAATACATTTACTTACCCAACGGACAGGAAAGGTTCTTTTGATTCAAGTCTGTCAAGTAAATAACACAAGTTTTAAAGCATATTTATGATGTATATAAAATACTTATAATGTATATATAGCAAGAATATTTCAGGATATTTATATGCAGAATTTAAAACAGCCATTTTCAATATCCAATTTAGTTGGTGAACAATACAAAATCTGACAACAATAGAAGACTATAAAGGTCCAATACATTATTCTATGAGTTTGATTAGGGAAAAAAAATCCCCAATTTGTCTTAGGAACAAAATAGTTTTCAAAGTAGCAATCTTATGGTCTTAAAATTTCATAAATTAAGATGACTTGTGTACATATTTACATGGAAAGTTTGAAGTGAACAAATAATACTTTGTCACCAACCCCCTTTTTTTTTCATTTTCCATATAAATCCAAGTATTTTCGGTTCTTGATGGCTCTGTTTCAGGAATATAGTGGGTTTCTTGCTGTTGTGGTTGTTTTTAACTTTAAACATTAATTTATGTATGGGTTTATGTATGGGTTTAAGTTTCTTGCTAAACTGAGGGCTCCATACCTATTTTGTTTTCTTTCCAAAATCATCTGCTTTTGTATTGTGATCAGAGCTTCATCCCACAAATTTCTGCAGATATGCCACAATTGGGATTGCACTGGAACCTGAATAATGTGAATGGTGCTAGATTGATAGACCCCGAAACATTCCTCTTTCTAAAAATTAATATATATATAAATTTATATATAAAAATATATATTATATTATATATTAATATATAATATATATATATACACACACACACACACATATAAATATATAAAGTGACTCTGTCACTCTGTCAAACAGCTTGCTAATTTTTCTACCTTCATAAGGAGCTGCATCACCTGCACACTGTTCTATGATTGGTTTACACCCAGCCAGATACAATCTAAAAATCCTCATTTACATTCTCATACAGCATTTCTGCTCCAATACCTGCTGGAAGTGCTAGCCTTAATTCTGGAACACTTTCTGGCTGCAATGAGCTTATTGACGTCRGGTATTTGTTAGGATCACCAGCATGTGAGTTTCAAGTCCTTTAGAAAAATATATTTTTAAAAATTATACTCAAGTGTTACCTGACATAAACATGATTCGAAACTGCATTACACTAAACTTCACTGAGAGAACTGTATTGTGAAGTAAAGAAAATGAATATGTAGTCTTTAAAAGTGTTTCTAAGAAAAGTGAAATAAATCATTACAGGACCTGAACATTTCACCTGTGATGACCCTTCCCATCAAAAATCAAATCAATCCCACAGTCTGAAATGGAATATAAGATTTTAAATAAAGCATTTGACTGTTTTTTAAAAGACATTTTCTTCATGTATTCCTTTGTGGGAAAGCAAACAGAAACATTTACATTCATTATTTCAATGTTTTCAAAAAAAAAAAAAAAAAAACACTCAGAACAAATTTGACACAGTGCTTTTGAAAGGATTATACGATTTTGCCTTTTAAAATGTAAGCTGGCTTTTTGCAAGGCATTTACTTCTCAAGAAGACATTTTCCAAAATGACTAGTGAAAATAACTGAAAAGTCTATCTTCATTTACAGTGATGCCTTCAAGTGTTCTTTAAACCTGTCTTCCTGGAATTATATCTTCAGTAGAGGCAAACATTTCTTACATAAGGCTTGAGGAAAGGCTAAAATACATCCACAAAATATTTTTTCATTGTCCTCGTGGCTACATCTGGCTTTTTCATCTGTTTCAGAGACTGCTATTGACATGGAAGTAGGAGGCCAGGAAAGAAAACTGCTAATGCGTGTGGGTCCTGATATGCACCATGTTCCATGGAAAAGCAGTATAAGCCTGAGGCTGCACTCTTCACACACCTCTTTTTCCTCCTGTGGATACTACAGTTCAGAAAATGTGTCTGATCTTTGCATGTTTGCTCTGATGTATGAAGAAAAAAAATCTTTTTTTTATTGTTTTTGTTGTTTTACCTGCTTAATGAAATGAACTGGACCTGTGAAGTACTCTAGCTTTGGTTTGAGAGATTAATTATAAGCCACAAGAGAAAACTCTGAGAGCCTTGTTGCATATTCATACACAGAATGCATATAAAAACTTCATGATGTAGAGACTTATAATAGCATTATGCTCATGGAGGAAATACCGGTGGATTTTACTTGCAAATGAAAAGCGTGTGGTATAATGCCCCGTGGATAAAATACTGCAATTAAAAATCTATTTGAAATCCATTCTTATGATGGAATTCAATTTGATTTAAATACTGCTGCCCTAAGTTTGAACCCTCTCTAATATATTTGACTAAATGGTTTTAGATCATTTGCTTCATTATTTTAATTTCAAGTGCTCCTTATAGTAAAGGAATATAATTATCTGTTGACCTTTTATTTAAATTGATAATTCAGTATATGGCAAATTAATATAAAGATTTTAAAACTGCAACACACTAATAACACATTAATAACACACTACAACATCTTTATTGGTGACATGCATCAATATATAATACATTTTTTTTAACTTTTTTTTTTCTAGCTTATAATATATCAAACTCTCTGGAGTTCTATAGAAATCTCTCATAATAAAATACACCTCAAAAAAAGCAATCCTGACAGCCTGTGAGAGAAGTGTTGTCATGTATGTCAATGAAAAAAATAAAAAAAAAATGTCCTTTCTTGCAAAAGTGTATTGAGCATGCAAGAAATACTAAATTGAGCTGTAAACAAAGGTAATTATGTTTTAATTCTGTAGAAATTATAATGAATCTTGAGTGATTAGGATTTAATTTAACTTTTCTGAAATGGTTTTCCCATCAGAAAGTTCATCTGTCAAAATGTCAGGACAATATATTGATTTAAACAGGAGAAAGGCAGGCTAATCAATAGTGTTATTGGAACTCATTTTCCCTGTGATTCTGAGCTATGAATTTCTGAGGGGTCTGAGTTTGTTATCTATATATAATAGACAATTTTTCAGAGGAGGAAAAACATTTTTTGTTCTATGTAAACAGTTCAGTAAAAAGCAGTTATTACAAACAAAGCAGGCACAGCAATGAATTGAACGAATGATGTTTACCAGCACTTTTACATCCTGTTTTTGAAATAAGTATGTCAGGAATTTTCCATTCATCCCTTCACAGAATCACAGAAKGGTTTTGAAGACCTCCAGAGAAGGAGCCTCTACAACCTCCCTGGGCAGCCTGTTCCAGGGCTCTGTCACCCTCATATTGAAGAAGTTCCTCCTCACCTGGAGATGAAAATTCTTGTGTTTCAACTTACAGCCATTGCCCCTTGTCCTATCACTGGTCAGTACTGAGAAGAGCTTGGCCCCTTCCTCTCTACATTCACCCTTCAGGTACTTATACATATTCACGACTTCATGATCACTTTGCAACAATCTAATTTCATGATTTTTTTCTGCTGCTGAGTTTATTTATTTTAATGCTAATGAACTAAATCACATCTTTGACATGGAATGAACATGTAGATGGACAAATATTTCAAAGTTTGTAGGCAAACAATTAAAGATGTATGAGGAGTAAGGTCATATGAATTCCTATATGCCTTGTAAACAAATCATTTAGGAGCAGGAAGATCCCAAAGGCAATTCCACTTTCCTTGAATACTTGTCCTATAAAGGTTATAGGAAAGATAGGTTTTTATATCTCTGGCCTGACCCAAGATATATGTATATGTACATGTGTGTGTGTATATATATGTATATACATATATATATATATACACAAATATATATGTATATACATATATATACACAAATATAATTTCTTTAAAATCCTTGTTTCTCCATCTCAAAATCTATTTACAGGGACAAAAAGAGAGATAACTTTACTAACAATATCATTTCTGCACATAGGCAGGGGGGATTTCAGGAAGTCATTTGTTAAGGCAACGCTGATTTTTGAATCAATATATTCTTCCTGGTGATGATCTTATATTGTCATCTCTAAGGGTTAAGAACATTTGATAGGGATCTCAATCTGGCTACTCATTGTTTATCTAAATCAAGGAAAGCCGTGGTCAGGAACAAATTTCTTTTTTTTTTTTTTTTTTTTTTTTTTAAAGAGTCAAAGACAGTCATAGACACAAAGCCTAGTCACTCCAGTTCTTGAGGGCACTGGAAGAGTTAATTTCTTTAATGGTTGAACCCAGATGATTCAAACTTTACATTCTAGCAGTGTAAATCAGCCTATAAAAAAAATCACTTGATGGATTGGTTGCATAGCATTAATGTGTATTTTATATGATTGATGCTGTTGACTTACTTACCTGTCAAGTATGTTTATCCCTCTGCAAAGTACATCTCTGGAAACCAAAGATTTGGTAAAAATGTGTGATGTCAAAGAAGATACAGATTTATAGTTCCACCTGTTTGCTCATGAATTTGTTTTTTAAAATAATAACCAAGGACAAGTTACTTTTCAAAGGACTTTCAAAAGAAACTCTGAAATGCTGTGTCATTCACAGTGATCAGGTAGGTTTGCATTTTTCTCAGAATTTTAACTTCATAGTTTACAGGGAGTAGTAATCAGAAAACATCTTTCTTTAGAATTTTATAGGCAGTATTGCTCACATTTTATTCTCTAATTCCTCTACTTTAAAAAAAAAAAAAA